ATGGTTGGTAAGAAAATCTATATTTATATAAATTATTTTTATTATTCTAATATTGCTATAATTTTGTTTTACTTGTTATCAGTAAATTCTACATCATCAACAAAGTAATGTACACAATCTAAATTCGAAATGAAAATATATTTAAATATCAAAATTATTTACAACAAAAAGATAATATTGTGTTGATAAACATTTAAGCAATGCACTATTGCCATACACAAGAAGTCATAAAAACATAAAATACTTAATCTTCATCAGGAAGGACTTGTGTTTCATCATTTTGTTTTCTTCCCACATTTGTTGAATTTCTACCATCAATGCTGCATTTGAAGTTGCATTTGAAGATCACGCTCCATGATTTAAGAAAACAGGAAAGTGGCAAACTATCATGATATTCTTCAACCTTTGTTAAACAGGAAAGTGGCAAACTACCATGGTATCCTGGAAGATAGAAATATGTGAAAATAAATAAATAACTGAAAATAAACTTTCTAAAATGTTCAAGAGCTTCTGTGTTGAGTTTAAAATTTGAAATTTGATTTTTTGTATTGAGACTTGTCATATTTCAATCAATTGAAAAAGCATAATAATTATATGGGTACCTGCATCAATTATAGTTACACAGAAAATCTTAGATATCAAGAAAGGGACTATCTGATTAAGAATTAAACTTCACTCCATGTTACTCAAAGATGCAGAATCATGCATAGCAGCAATATCTTACGTACTCAAAAAAGAGATCCAAGATTCTCTGTATTGTCCCTGAGGTGATCAATTTTGTCTCTGCTATTTCATTGGCAGTTCTCAGCAGCACAGAAATGAACTCCACAATCTATAAGGAGCAGAAGAACAAGATTAATATGAAAAAATGAGTATATAATAGACTAACTAATTTAAAAAGAATTAGACATTGAAAGTAATCAGTATTTTTACATCTAGATAGCTATATCCCCCCAACATACTCTTCTTTTTATATATGTTTATTTTTATAGAAGACCATCAAGATCTAATTAGAGGAAATTAAAGGAGAAAATGGTGGGACCCTCTACACTATTAGGATCCAACACATCTCTGCAGTCAAGGATAACAATTACAAAAGAACACCAAATGAGATTTACTTAGTTTTAAGAAACTGAACAATCTTCACAGACCTAAGTACCTAACTAACATTAACAGACAGAACAAAGCCATCAATTTATTTTAAATTGAGTTTCAGAGAGACTAACCTTTAAACGATGCTTCCCAAGAGAAGGTGTCAATTCACCATACTGTGTAGGTAGCATCTTCTTGTCAGATGACACATTCAACAGCATCAGCAAGTCACCTGTGCCATATTATTTATAGGTGATATGTGACTGTATCTCAAAAGCAATGTAAGGGCATAACATTCACTACTGATGCATTATGCATATATTAGGAGGCAACAAAAAGAGGAAGAAAAGTTCCTGATGAAAGTTAAAACATGCCCTGTCATGACAAAGATAATACAAAGAATAATCATCAATTGAGACTCTGTGCTGGTTTATCATAAAAATGCAAATATATACATACACTCAAAATCACATATGTACAGAATGAAAATTTTACCTAATGCTTGTTTCAGTATCTGAAATGTTAGCCAAGCCACCTACAATTAGACCTGCATTTCAATAAAAAGAGTATAAGTATATAATCAGTACAGAATATTGCTTTATTTCTTAATAGTGGTACACTATCATCTACTGTCTCAAAGTAATTATTGATGCATATTACGCAGTTCTGTACCATGCAAACAAATAACTGTACCAACTGAATCAGAGGACTCCTATCTTTACTATTTGGCAAAGTTTTGAGCTTCTTGTTATCTAACTGACAAAATTGCATAGAAATTAATGTAGCAAGCTACAGCCACACCAGGAGTTGCCAATCTACACTACACAACGGAAATTAGAATATTATCATTATAAGCATAAATTATAGCAATACAACCACACCAGGAACTGTCAATCTACTCTACACATTTCAAATTAGAATATTATCATTATTATCATTATAAGCATTAAATTATAGCAATACAACCACGCTAAGAACTGCCAATCTACACTACACAATGAGAATTAGAATATTATCATTATAAGCAATACACTTCTTTTTTTTTTTTTTTGCTAGAGCAGCAAGCTATATCTCACACACATACAACAGCTTTTAATTTCTAATTTTCTTCAGTAGTTAGGGGATAAAATCGAAATTCAAACCAACAATTTCTAGACCAATGCTTGAGTACGTAAAGGCCTGTGAGTAAATGGAGATTGAGCAAAACTTACTTGTTTCAATTCGCACTTGTGAAGCTCCTTTCGGCATCGGTAGGGTTCATGACTTTGCCTCCCTCATCGTCTTCATTTCTCCGCGAGCTCTAAGCCCTAATTGTTCCCTGCTACAGCTTAGTCTCCTCCGCATTATTCTTCCCTCCTCCCCCACGTCAACCTTGGTGGACTCACTCCACCGCGACCACACAACCTTCGCCTCACACTCAGTCGAGTCTTCGAACTGCAAATCCAAAAGTCGAGGTTTTCCTTCTAGATCTGTCGCAGAGGAAGGCGGGCGAGCAGCGGCATTCGAGTCTACAGCGTCGTCGCAGCCTAGAGGTCAGGGGAGGCGTCATCGTCGTCTTCATCGCAAGTGAGGTCAGGGGAAGCGTCGTCGTCGTAGGGGAGGGCGATTTTGCTGTGTCCGTTGCTGATTAAGTGTTTAGAGAATAGGGTTTTGAGGAGGAGGAGGTACCGCCAAAGACTTTGGTGTTTTGAGCGAAATTTGAAGAAAATGAGTTTTGACAATGTTTAAATATTTTAATTTTTGTCCAATAATAATGTTGGACGGTATTTAGTCAATTCGATTTTACATTTCATCTAATAGTTAATTTGATTTTCTGTCCAATATTTAGTGTAGATCAGAAGTTTCGTCCAACACTCACATGTTGGACAGAATTTCTATCCAATTATCACGAGTTTGACGGAAATTTCCATCCAACTTTTCATTCATTTTCATCTTCGACGGAAAGTTGTGACTTTTTACAAATTACCGACCAACATTTTGTTGGACGGAAATGTTGGACGAAAATAGCGAAATTTCCAGCAGTGATTATCCTTTCTGTTTATAGATTATAATAATTAAAAAAAATTAAATATGTGAACCAATGATTTCAAAATGAAATTAATATACAGTTACAATTAAATATAGCATGATTAGATTTACTTTAATTAGTTTTAATTTTCTTAATGAAGTGACTTTTCTTTATCAGTTTTTTATGGGAAGCTAAGGGAGTGTTTGGATTGCTGGAAAATATTTTAAAATAAAAATACATATCAATAAAAAAAAATTTTAAAATATTTTTTAACCCATCATAACATGTGTAAATGTTATATTTTTTTTAAAAAATACAATTTGATAAATATCGTAATTTCTATTTATAATAGCTAAAGAAAAAAATAAATAATTCAAAGATGTGAACAATGATTCACGTTGAGTTATTACCGAAAAAATCAGTCTTTAATCACGGTTAATTGTATGTGACTTTTTCACGAGTCACCCATCCTGATGGTTTGATTGTTTTAACTATAGACGAGGATGAATAAAATCCCGTTACTACTACCAATGTCGTCTACAAAGAGACTTTCAATAATGTATAATTCAAGCCATTGGTATTATGTTTTTTAATATACAAAGATGACAAAATTGCTATATATCTACATAGAAAATATAACTTCCATATAAATAATTTCTATAACTGAGTTGCTAGACAACGAGTTAATTACCCCAATTAATACAAATTATAAACACTGATATATAAAATCTCTACAGTTGCAGCAACGAATGCGTATATCTACACGTTAGCTATTAATTGAGAAATTATTTACTTGAATTCAAGCATTGATAACATCAGAAAACATAATCGGTGCAACTCAATTCTTCAATTATATTATATAATATTCGATGTTATAATTTATACAATTGTATATCAATCTAAATATTTTTAAAATATTATAACAAATTCATTCCGTGCAACGCACGGGCACAAATACTAGTAGTTTATAAAATAATTATCTCAAGCCCATAGTAACATATTAGGCTTTTATATATATATATATATATATATATATATATATATATAATATATATATATATATATATATATATATATATATATATATATATATATACATATATATATATATATACATATATATATATACATATATATATATATATACATATATATATATATATACATATATATATATATATACATATATATATATATATATATATAGGTAGGTAGATACTCATATGCGGCTGTGCTCTTAGGTGAAGCGGTGAGGTTATATCCCAGTCGTTGATCAATTCTAATCTAACGGCAGCGGCACATTATTTGAATTAAGTAAAGTTTTTCGCGCTTTTGGTAAGTGGGGGCGTTTCAGTAATTTCATTGGATGGGGACGTGCATGTATATAAGCTGTTTTATTTTGTCTAACTTTTAAGCGCTGAGAGAGAGAGAGATCAAGACCTCGTTCGTGATCGCGTCGTAATTGGGAGAAGATCAAGATCGCGATCATGATCGCGTCGCAATTGAGAGAATATCGCCAGAGATCACAATCGGAAGTTGGACAAGAAATCAGTTGCGATTGCAATTAGAGAATATCGCAGTTCGGAGAATATTGAAATTGAGCGATGGAGCCTGGTATGTTTGACTTGCTTATGTTTGTAGTTTTAATTTGTCTTTTATTATTTTGTGTTTGTTATGGTTTGGAAGTTTATCGCCTGTTTTTATCTGGTTTTGCGAGGTATCGGTGTTGACTATGTTGTTGTGTGTTGTTTTGTGATTACGGTGTACTTTTTGTCTACTCGTGGTGCATATATTATTTGTTGGTGTGACTGGCAGTATTAGATTTTATGCATGTGTAATGCGCATGTAGGTAGGGTTATTCATGTGGTATTGGATTAGGTGTGGTGATTTATTAGTTAACATGTGGTGTGCAGCTGTTGATTTGGAATCTTTTGGTATTTGCGATAAAGATAATTCAACTGATGTTTGTGGAGAAGGTAGTGGTGGTGTTTGTGATGAAGGTAATCCCACTGATGTTGGTGTAGAATGCAGTGGTGATGGTTGCGATGAAGGTAATGTGACTGATGTTGGTGTAGGAGGCAGTGGTGTGGGTTGTGATGAAGATTATTTGACCAATGTGGGTGTACAAGGCAGCTCATGTGTGTTGGAAATTTCTCCTGGGTTGACTAAGTATTAGCGCCCAGTCTGTGCTGACAATTTGAAGCCTATCGTTGGGTAACAGTTTGTTTCCTTGGATGGTGCTATTTTTTTTATAAACAATATGCTGGGAGTGTTGGGTTTGATTGTAGGCAGCGTTCAATTCGGAAGAGTAGGGATGGTGTTGCTGTGGAGAAGCATTTAGTATGTAATGGTCAGGGTTTTAAGCAGAGGGTTTCTAGTGTTGCTAAAACTACTTTGGTGAGGAGACAGAGGGTGACAAATAGGGTTGGTTGTAAGGCTAAGGTTGTGATAAAGCTTAAGTCTAATGGTTTGTATGTTGTGCATTCTTTTGAGGAACGTCACACTCATTCGTTGTGTTCAATTATTGCTAGGAAATTTTTAAAGGTGAATCGTAGCCTTTATGCTGGGCACCAAATGTTTATTGCGAGTTGTGCTCGAGCAAATATTGGCTCTGTTCGGTCATATAGGCTGTTTAAAGAGATTGTTGGTGAGTATTCCAATGTTGGGGCTATAGGTGTGGATTTTAAGAATTTCAAGCGTGACCTGATGACGTACATTCTAAATGGTGATGCTCATTTATTCATAGATACGCTTTTCAAGAGACGTGAATTGTGTGAGGCGTTTGATTTTGAATATGATGTTGATGAAGTTGATCAGCTTTCAAGGGGTTTTTTTGGGCAGATGCAGTATCTAGGAAGAATTTTGCTTTGTTTGGTGATGTTGTTTCATTTGATGCTACATACCGTACTAACAGGTTAGTATTTATTTTTATTTTGTGCATGTTGTATATTTCTGTGGTGCATGATTACATGCCTTATGGTGTGTCTTGTTAGAAGTATGGTGTTAACTGATTGTTGTGTTGTAGGTATAAGTTGGTTTTTGTTCCGTTTACTGGAATTGATAACCATAAGAGATCCATCACCTTTGGTGCTGGTTTGCTTACGAGGGAACACGTAGACTCATATGTGTGGCTTTTGGAGAAATTTAAGAAAACTATGTGTCATGACCCTATTTGTGTTGTTACTGATCAAGATCCAGCTCTCAAGGTTGCTGTTGCTTGTGTGTTTGGTACATCAAAACATAGATTTTGCATGTGGCATATAATGTGCAAGGTTGGTGAGAAGGTTGGACCAGTTTTATCTAAAGATGAAGTGTTTAGTAAGAAGTTGAATGGCATCGTTTGGAACAAATCTTTGGACTCCAAGTCTTTTGAGGATGCATGGAGTTGTATTATGGAGAAATATGGTTTGGGTGATAATGGTTAGTTTCGTTACTTGTTTGAGTCTCGTACATTTTGGGCATCCCCATATTTTCACGACGAGTTTATGTCAGGATTGGTTAGGATAACGTCTCGATCAGAGTCTCAAAATGGTTTTTTTGGTACGTTCTCTAATGGTCATTCTAGTTTGGTCGAGTTCTTGGTGCATTTTGGAAGTGTTATTGGTGCGCAGCGTCATGCACAAGCAAAATTGAATGCTGATTGTGAATCTTGTTTTCCTGTTTTGAAGATACCATTGGCTTTGGAGAAGCATGCAATGGATGTTTACACCATTTCTGTATTTTATGATGTTCAAGTAGAGTTTTGTGCAGCTTGTTATTCGTGTCAAGTGGTGTCTTTGTGCGATTGTGATGGTCATGTGTCCTATGGGATAAAAGATGGTGCCCAACGGGCATGGTGTGTGGAGCTAGTCTTGTCTGATTACACTGCTACTTATTCTTGCAAGATGTTTGAGCGGATGGGGTTGTTGTGTAGGCATATGTTTTTTTTTTTTTTTTTTTTTTTTTTTTTTTTTGTTTTTAAAGATCGTGGGCTTGAGAGTATTCCTTCTAGGTATTTGGTGTCTCGGTGGACAAAGGGTGCTTGTTTGAAGCCAATATTTCATATTGATGATACAATTGTTGATCAATCTTCTAAAGTGGAGAACGTTAGGATTTTTACTAATCTATTGTGGTCTGACATATATGCTTGTGTGGGTTTGGCTGATGGTAATATAGAACGTTTGGCATAGCTACGACGTGTTATTTGTGAGCAAAGGCAATTATTTCTCCAAGATGGTAGTGAGAATGGCAGTGGGGTGGTGGCTAGTGGCAGCAAACAAAGTGTGATCAATTCATTTTGTGGAGCCGTGTCTCAGGGGTCAACAGTGGAGGTGCGTGATCCTATTCAAGCTAAGAACAAGGGTAGCGGTAAGCGGTTGAAGAGTACAAGGGAGAAAGCTGCCAGTAAGTGTGTAAAGCAATCAAGGAAATGCCATACTTGTGATGAATATGGTCATAATAGTAGGACATGCCCTTTAAATGGTTAGATACAGTTGTGCAGTTGATTTTGGACCTATATGTTTTCACAGTTGCACACACTTCTTATAACATACAGTTATGCATTTTATTACAGTACTTGGTGCGTTTTAATACATAATGTGGTGCATTTAAGTACGTTGAATGTTTTTTTTTTTTTTGTTTGGAATGATGTGTTTTATTCCGTATTGTGGTGCATTTTTATATGTAGAATTATGTTGGCTGTTATTATTGTGTGGTGCATTTTATTTCATATGTTGGTGAATTTTGCAAGTAACAAGTGGAATGGTGCATGTTATTTTTATAATGGTGTTTTTGGTGGGGTCTTTTAAAAATGAAGATTACGCATGATAATACTGCATTTATAGCGCTGCAAATGGGTTAGGCCTTCACAAGTACCCATCACAAAATATCGAGTGTCTAGTAGTCATATGGTCTACGCCATGCCATCACAAAATTTTTTTACATGTTTGAAAGTCTCCTTAAACCCCAAACTCTGCTGCCTGCTGTATGTTTATTTCTCTCAGTTCGTTCACATCTGAGGTGATCAAGGCAGCTAAGTATCTCATTCTTAGCATGTTCAATTGTTCTTTGTTGTTTCTCTGCAATCCACAATCTCATTCTTCAGCTGTCTGTCCATGGAAGGTTTCCAAATGGCACATTAAAAAGATGCCACAATCCTTTTTGTTATGTGCATCTCTCCATGGCATCTTCATTATCTTAGACTTCAGCTTCTTCACCTTTTCACCTTTGTACGCGGATTTCTGTTCGATCAACATCTTTGAAAAGAATTTTTGCTGCATCAAGGAATTGTACAGTAATCTTAGGTTTTTGTGTCTTTGTGTATTAAATATATATAGTCAGGTAGTGCTCAGTGGGTTACCAAATTGTCAAGCACATATCCGTATTTGTTATGTTTCTTCACAGGTGCTGAAGAGTTGTCAATGATGTCAAACCTTTCCATTATTGGGCTAACAGACAGCAGGTAGTAGTGGTTGGATGCCACTATGGGAAACAAAAACTGTCATAATAAAAACACACCACATGTGTCATAATATACACCATAATATGATTAATAATGCACCACAAATAGGCAAATACCAGAATGTACAAATTGATGTATAACAAATAGGCAACTATTATATGTATATTAACATCTTACGTATACAATCTTGTGCCACATGATGTCTACAACAATCGCCTTGTCTTGAAGGTACTTTTCTTTGAATCTCATAAATCTCAAATCTTCATCTCCCTGCGGGTTCACAATTGTGTTCAGCTGCAAAGTTCAATTATATGTTTGTTAGAACTTTAGGGGTTTTAAAGGAGTAGTTAGTTTTATATTTTTTGCTTACACTTGTCCATGTTGAAGCAATGAATTTTGTAGAACCTCTTTCTCCTTCACGAATGTTTAGTATGGCTGCCCAAGCATCAATTATAGAGACTGGAATCTCTGTATCTGGCGCCATTAACAGCATATCTCTCCAGTAGATTACTCTTCCTTCATACCTGAATAGTTCCTGCTCACTGGTAATAACGTATTGTATAAGCAACAAAAATATTAATACATCAACATTATTAAAACATACACCAAAGATATATTAGTAACACACCATTAGAAGTTAATATTTCATTTAATGAGAATACACCAACATATATAGAGATATACACTAATAACTATTGAGTAACACACAACACATAAGCAACTAATGTGACCACCCCATGTGGAAGCACAAACAATCATATAAACACACCAATAGTTATGGAATAATGCACTAGTTAATATATGATATTTATACACCAATATTATAATACAATGCACCAAATATATTTTAGAAATACACCAAGTTTAGAATGTGTTGTGCTTACAGTTCTGGGTTAGGATTTTCTAATACCCATTGTCTGATTGATTCCTCTGTTGAAGTTATTGGGGCTTCCAGATCAGTTGCATATATGCGGGCTTTAGGTCTGATTGGGTTGTTCCCTCTAGCTACTCTCTTCCCTTTGTCTAATGGTTCGGGTGGGGGTGGTGGATCTGAACCAGGGCCCTCTTGACATTGGTCTGCTGGTGTGACCTGTAACATTCAAATTTTATTATTTTTTCTTTTTTTTTTTATCGTCAATTTAATATAGTGCATTACCTCATCATTGTTGTTACCAGGTGCATCTGGTTGAGCCTCCTGCCCATCTTGTTGACCTTCAGTTGCTTCTTGACCCTCATTAATATTCAGCTCAACTTCTTCATTTTCCATAGCCTGATCAATGTTTTGGTAGTCTCGTGCAATATCATTCACTTCCGTCCAACGTCTATTTTGTTCCTCTGGTGTCAATCCCAGGCTGAAAGATGGCATATCATTTAGAAAATTTCTCTTGTTTACTGCACGGACAATCTCATCTACCGCTCTTAAGAACTCAGGGTCACTCCAGCAGGCATCTTCTCTCTGAGTAAATATCAGTTCTCCATCCTCTTGTGCTCTGAATCCAAGCATTTGCCTAGAAGATTCAAACATCTGCTTGAATGTGTCATGCTCCAATACTGCTACAGGTGCATTCTGAATTAGCCTTGATATTCTCAGTAGACTCTGTGCAATTGACCTAGTGTGGGCGGTAATCTTATCAACAAACTCCTGTATATGAAACACTTTAGTATAAACACACCAATATATATTGTAGTATGCACCATTTATTTCTAAAAAGTACACCACAGTCAGATTATGCACCATATTACACACAAAATGCACCAATTACCATTGTAGTGTTTGGTTTACCTGTAATCCTTGTGGCAGTGGTGGGGTCTCTTCTTGTGGTGGTGGTGGTGGTGGGGGTGGGGCTTCACAATGTGTTGTGATCTCCAGTGGTAAGGCAGTATCAACACGTCCATATCCAAATCCTCCAGACTTGAGCTCATCCTGTTGTCGTTGACGGAGTAGCTTAAATGTCCAGTTATTCATGGCAGGGTAGCTTATTGGGATAGCCCTCCGGCAGAGCACCACACAGTCAACATAGAATACCTGCATTTTGGTAGTTTAGATTACTAATAGGTTGATGTGTAATTAATTACAAGCTTGTTGAGTGTCTATTTACCGTTAGGAAAACAATTGGTCATCCAAACCTTCCATCACAACTTTCCAGCCATGCATTCTTGCTTGCGATGAGTGAATTGATGAGCATTTTACACCAATTGAGCCTCTTGATGTTGTCAACTTGACGCAAGTTGTCAATGTAGTTTTGGTTCACATAACCATTTACCTGTGGCTCCACCAACACAGTCATAACAAGTAGTGCAAAATGCCGTTTGAACCAAGGGTCAGCAGCTCTCAATGTCAGCATTTTTTTAGACATTTTGTGTGGGGTGATGTGGCCGTCAGCCCTTCCAAAGAGTTTTCTCCAGTCTGTCAGGAGATCGGATACTGCTTTACTTTCTCTCTTAGTGATTTCTATGTCACCAAGCGGCAGTTCCAATGTCACAGCAACATCTTCTTCTGTGATCTGTAGTCTTTGGCCATTTTGCAGATTCAATATGTTGCTCCTTGCGTCATAGTTTTCAACCAGCCACATCCCCAATTTCCTTGGAAGGTTTATGATTTTGAGGTCAAGAATCCTTCCCAGCCCAATGTCTTTTATACTCTCGCGTTGTTGATTGTTAGGGCGTTAATGGGTTTTGTTAGCTGTGTTGGCAGGGGCCTTATCTTTAGGTCAGTCTCTTCATTATCTTTCTCCAATGTGTCTATCTCATCAGCTGAGCTATCATCAACTTCTTGTTCATGCACTTCTTCATCCGTTTCTGTATCATCTTCCATTCTCTCAAGGAATGACATTGCTTCCTACTTTCTCTGCTGTTTTGGCCTTGACGAGTCTCCTTGTTCTAATGCCTTTCTTTTGTTGTCTGCATGAAATATTTGAAATTATTCTAAATATGACTGTTTACAAATTACAAATTCCAAAACACCAACAACAAAAGAAATATAGACTACACTCATGTTGATCCTGTACAAAAACAACATGCAATGAGGTGCACTAGTCTGAAATGTTCAAAAATACACAGATGGTAGGATAAACATACACTATGCGTAAAAATTAAACACACAACAACCTTTTTTTTTTACCAATATTCAAGTTCCAAATTTCAGAAAACACCAATAATAAACGATATATACACTACATTGATGTTCATCATAAACAAACAACGCGCAATGAGATGCCCTAGCCTGTAATGCTTAAAAATACACCGACCGGAGGATAAACATGCACAATGTACAAAAATTAAACTCACAACAAGTTTTTCCCCAATATTCGAGTTCTAAATTTCAGAAAACACCAATAATAAACGATATATACACCACATTCATGTTTATCGTAAACAAACAACACGCAAGGAGATGCCCTAGCATGAAATACTCAGAAATACACCGACGGTAGGATACACATGCACTGTGTATAAAAATTAAACACACAACAGCTTTTTCTCCAATATTCATGTTACAAATTCCAAAAAACACCAATAATAAACGAATTATACACTACATTAATGTTCATAATGCACAAAGAACATGCAATGAGGTGCCCTAGTCTGAAATGCTCAAAAAAATACACCGATGGTAGGGTAAAGATGTTATTTTACTCATTCAAGTTAAATATTTCAGAATACACTAATAATAAACGAAATATACCCTTGCATGCTCGTTGTTTGCCTTTGTTCACCATTTTTGTGTTTTGTAGTGGAGCGGTGTTGTAGTATAGACTTCGTGTTCCCCTCAGAACGCTGTGGTGCGTTCGACTCTAGCCTTTTCGTTGTTTGTCGTTTCAGTCGCTCGTCATTGCAGTCGTTCGTCTAGGCTTCGTCGCCGGAGAGAGAGTAAGTTGGAGAGGTTTTGCACTTTGGGATTGTGAATATGTAGATGGGACGGGTGTTACTTGCAGAAGTGGAGAGGAGATGATTTTGAATTGAATTAATGGACAAATTTTCCCTGCTAAGCCGTGGTGATGTATAAGTGTAGCGCGCAATCAGTAA